CAGCCCTCTCTAAGCGGTTTACAGAGTCAGCATATCGCCCCCTCATTTTACCCACCTCGGAAGGACGGAAGGCTGAGTCAACCCTGAGCCAGTGAGATTTGAACCGCTGAACTGCTGATAGCAGTCAGCTGAAGTGGCCTGCAGTACTGCACTCTACCCACTGCGCCACCTTGGCTCTCCTTCTGTCTTCAATTTTATTTTAACTCTTGTCTTTTGGGTTTTCTCTTCGCTAATAATAAAGATTTTTCTCACCATTTCGACACACTGTCTCTCCTATTCTGCTTCTGGTTTAGGGGCTTGTCCCAACCTTCTGCAGCCATTTTGGCTGCTTCTCTTGTAGCCGGCAAAAAGAGCTTTCCCTGGATCAATCAGAGGCTTTGCGATGCCCCTGAGATGAGCAGGACATGCCCTTCTCTATCACTATTCCTTCAGAACAATTTAGATTCAAAAAGGATCGTCCAGGAACAGAGATATCAACAGCAATTCTGGAGCCCCAAGATTGCATGTTGTGTCGTACCAACATCAAGCCCCGCCTCCGAAAATTATTACACTTTTGAAACCTTATTTATTATATGTGACTAAATCAAAACTTGTTTTATTATTGATACTTTGTGGTTGAAATCTGTACAAGAATTCCTGTTTGACAATGTTCTTGAAAATTGATAAATGCAATCTGGTCTTGATTTCTCATAGTTTTTGCAACTTCTTTACTCTTTTCTGGATTGAGTACAGTTTACCATGTTTCATGCAAATACGCAGTGCATCCATTCTACATATAATAAACCTACAGGACATTATCACTTAGGGGTGTACTCACTTCTGTGATATGCTGTAATGAGATTAACTCTCTTCTATATTCATCCATCTGTGATCTCATCTCAGATCTCCTGACAATACTTGCTGCTAACAGTTCATTTTTGTTCTCTTTAGATCATGATCACCATCTCCTAGCTCTTGTTTTCATTGTTGGTTAGTTTATACATTTTTAAAGACTATCTACTTCTGTAGGAAGTATACTCTCCAATAGGACATATTCTGGCTATTTGTGTTGGCTCATGGGGCCCAGGGAAGAGAGCTTTTTCTGCTGTAGTATCTGCTTTGTCAAACATTATTCCAACTGAGATTAGGTTAGTCCTTATCCTTGCCTTTTGCAAGACCTTTAAAACCTTGGCTTTGTTTCTGAGCCTGGAGGGCCCTGGAAGAGTGATAAAGCCCACTGGCTTTGCTGATGGTTGATGCCCAGGGGCTATGTGCTTTTATTTTATATTATGCATTTATTTCCAGCGGTTCCACCACAAAACCGCGTTCGACTAAAGGGCGCTCGACGAAACCGCGTAGCTGACGTCATCACAGCGCGACAACA